AAAAAATAATATCGCTGCCTTGCCGTAAGAAAGGTGCCGCGTTCTCACCTGGGGCTCGACCGACGCTTCAGGGGGTTATGAAAAGCGCTTTGAACTTTTACGACAGAATGCGGTCATGTCGAGCAAAATATTTCGAACGTTCAGGTGAGGATCGCAGCCGAGGTTTGATCGGAGGCCGAATGTACGATGATTCAAGATGCTCGCAGTAGGAAAATCTAACCTAATCTCGGGAGATATGCAGGATCTTCGGGAGGAAAATATTCTGGAGCCAACCCGGGGATCATCAAGATTATCGTAACATCATGAGCGTCACTTGGAAGACGAGAGGTCGGGACTCGAGTTTTCGCTCATCCGATTCGAGTCTAGCACCCGTCCTTGTGCCCGATTGAACGAGAGAATTTCCAAGCTGGAGGATGCTGTAAGTGTCGAAACGGGGCAAATTTTTGTTTCTTCACACGGCTCACTTCCGCTGAAGGCAGAAATGCTAGAGCGGAAGCTGTTGACTGCCCCATCAACGAAGAGGACCACGAACGAGAGTTTTTATAGGCAGCCTGTTTCCCTATTCTTCAGACGCTCGAAGGCTGATATTCTTTCCGCTTTTCGTCAATTCTTTTCGCCAAGAACATTCTGTAAATTGATCCCGTCGAGAGTCCCTGATGAGGTGTTTTCTAAATCCGAATTCGCTTCGGAGTCATCCTGGTTGCCGACCGCCAGGAACGCATGGAGAACTAGCAGGGTTATCAATTGATGGCCCTTCTGACAAAAAAAGATTCTTGTCGTGTACATTGTGAATTCCACTTCCTGAATCCCTGTCGGAGAGAAGCCCAAAGGAGTCCTGGTGAGGCTGCCGATCTTGATCCATCGGTGAGCATCTACATCTACCTGGTATTGCTTACTGGTATTCATCGGGAGCATCACTTATTCGGTGATATACGGCACGTAGAACTTCAGCTGAGCGGTTCAGGTTGAAACTGATCATATATGGGATGGAATCCGTCGAGTCATGCACGGGGAGAGGAATACCCTCATCTTATGGGAAGCATACAGCATGGCTGAGATACAGCTGCCGTCGATGCCCATTGTGGACGAGGCAGAGTATCTAGGGAGGAATCGAGAGCGGCTCCCTCTGCGATGCACCTTCGGGAGGAGATGGCTAACGATAGGATGCTCTGACTAGCACAGAAAAAGTGGGAAAGCTGAACTCGGAGCCAGCCGCGAGGATTCCACCTCCCTCTTTTTCACAGATTTCATTTGACGCTCCTCGCCGAACCCAATAAGTGTCTCCTTTCCCGAAGCGAAATGTCGTCCCTGACTGTCGGCCTCTTCTGTGAACTGAACACGCTGCGTTTGAAAGCTACGGCAGGTGCAGTAGCAGGAATCGGACAGGCGGAGAGTAAGAAGCGACGTCGCAAAACGATTCACTTTAGTTGCCAAACTCGTCTTCGTCGGAGACCGCGTTCGAATCGTTTCCCGAGTCCTCTCCGAAGTCGACTACCTACATACGAATCATTGTCTGTGTCACGAGCCAGGAATTGAACAGACCGAATTCCGCCGAAATGCTCTCGATGAAGGAGGAGACCGACCCACTCCCTGGACTCCGCATACCGGGAGTTCGGGAGTTGATTCACGAGGGACCTGAAATGTTAGCATATAATTCACGCGAGTGATTCTACTACGCAATGGTCCGTTTTTGCATCGTTTACTCCACGAGAGTGTGTACTATCGACTCGGAGGACTCCCTGTGGATATTGTAATAAACACCAGGCCGAGTGGAGCGACCGACGTAATCGGCTGCAGCCGCTCCATCAAATGAGGGCATTGATACGACGACGTAAGCCGGCCCCGGGTTCGCTCTCTTGTGCGTTCGCCCAGCCGCTGCTACGATTACTACGACCACGATCGCCACTCGAAGCATCCGAGAGCATATTTTCATTGATTTTCCCCTGCTCCATTAGGCATCGGCACGAATCGACGCGTCGCTCGGGTAACATGTGGACCAGCTTGATGGGCCTAATACTTCGTGGGTCCGCGAAGTTTTCAACCCATGGGCATTTTAAGGGCACGTAGTTATTCCCTGTCTGTGAATTTGAGGTTCGAACACGAGTTTCCTCTGAAGAATGAGTTCACTCGGAGTATCAGAATGGCTCAGAGAATCCTTGGATAGACACATCCGCCCCACACGCACTCCGTTCCCCGATGGTTCCCATCTCGCTACGATCTCCTTCCATCTCCACGAATCCTTCCTCGAGAGCACTCCGCTCGGTGACCTTGAAATAAGTTTGATGGATCGACGAGTTTCGTTTTCCCTTCGGCAGCGATTAACGTGCTTGGAGAGTTTTAGTACAAGCTGTCGCTCCCGAGCGACGCCCCGACAGAACGAGCAAGCTAGCGAGCGATTCTTAATAATGAGCCCAAGGTTATGATGATACATAAAAGCCTTGCGCCCTGAAGCTCAGTAGCCGGTGCTCAGAAGAGACCCGTTCTTGCCAAGCTTCGCACTGCAAATCTGTCATTAAAATGTGACGCTTTTCTTGCTCCTTCCCCGCGTCGTGTTTTTGCGTTCTCAACGCTCTTGAGCTCGTAAAATCTCTCGTCCGGAAGACAGGCGAACTTGCAAAAATAATGTTTGGAAGAAGTTCATCAGCTGTTCTAAGAGGAGGAGCCTCTGTTATTATTGTCGCTTCTGTTTACACGAAATTCGCAGCGCGTTGAGTCGTTGAGTGGTGAAGTGTGAGATGAGTAAGCGTTCATTAGCAACAGCAGCAGTAGCAACAACGACGACGACAGGCGGCCGCGGACGTCGGGGCGACTGAGAAAAGCGAAGGCTTGAACTTGAGCTTCCCCAGCGATGCCGCCGCCATCGTTGACCCATCAGAGTTCTCACACGAGGGATGAGACGGTTGCCTCTAAGTAATTCTATGAAGAGAAAAAAGACAAGCACAGCGAGAGCTTGAGTGACGCTCGCTGGGCGGTTGGTTTAGCAGCCGTCAAGACAATGTGTCGTCATTTCAATTCACTCCGACAGACTCTCTGCAGAACTTTAATATGGACAGCGGGGCCCGGACTCAGAGTAGGTCAAGAGGACGATCCAGCGGAAATTCAAACGGCTCCGGCACGGCGAAGAAACAATGATTCGTCGTGTTGCGGAGACACTGAGCGCGGGTATATTGAAAATACGCTGACGAGACGGCGGAGAAGACGTTGAGAGGAGGAAGGATTGCTATCTCACCCCGACTGGGGTTTTAGAGTATTCGCAGGAACGATCGATTTCCTCCCGCGAGTCCTGGAGAGTTTGATTTCAGCGCTCTGAGGAACAACTCCGATCTTCTACGGACATGCAAGCGCATGTCTGGTGCTCCACGGTTTTGGCCGAGAGCGGATCGCGCTAAACTCTGTATCGATCTGGAACTGCATCATCCCCGGTTCCTGTGTACACCTTCCGTCGACGGTACGCTCCGGATTCCAGTCGAATGTGTGGGACCGGGAATTTCTTCGGATGGGGGAGGAAAAACGCCGGCGCCGCCGGCGGTGGATCCCGCGGGGGAGGGGGGAGTTTCCCAACGTTCCCCCCTCCGAGAGCCCCCCTCCTCTCCTCCGTCCCAGTATAGCTTCCAGGACAAGAGGTGATGAAAGATCACTCCAAGATGCCCGTTTCTTCCACGAGGGTATCGATCGAGCCCGTATAGATCCGAGGAACAATGATCATCCGGATGGACGAAGCCGAAAGAGTAACGGGCAGGAATGAGAATTATCTTCTAGAATTCGGCCGAGGAGGAAAAAGAGGGAAAAACTCGTTCTCGGAAGCTCCATGTCCCGCACGACGGAGGCTCTCTTGCGAATCGCGGAATCGAATGAATAGTATTCATCTCACCTAAAAAAGGAACTTTCCGCTGCCACGTTGGGGGATATACTTGTGACAAATGGAATAGACGGTAGCTCATAGAGAGTAAGGAGCAGCTATAAAAATAGAGATAAGTCCTCTCGGTTAGCTTAGGAGCGGGAGATTCGAGCGGAGATCTGCGATGATTCGGAGCCTCCCAGGGAACCATTGGATCGAGGAGCATGGGGACGAGTTTTTGATCGAATTCGATCCGAGCGAAAATTTGCTCAAAATGCGACTATCGAGATCATGCCTCGTTAAGGTTTCTCCAGGAGTCTTTGAAATAGTCCGAGAGGATGAAAGGCAAGCGTGGAACTCATTGAATTCTTGGAATGCGGACTTCCTCCGACCCCGTCTAAGAGCAGGATTAACGACTTCCTGAGCTTTTCGAGCCGCTTAAGCGCGACGGCGCGGCGCCCGCTTAGCTGGACAGAGGGACTCCGGTCCCATCGGGCGGACGTCTTCCAGCACGCCCCCATAACTCCGTCCGTCGGCGCTCAGATTGATTGTCGGGCTGGTTATCTCTAATTGATTTTCACGCTCCGTGCTCCCATAGTGTTCTCTGACGAAGATAAAAGCGATCGTGGAGGAACGGACACCGAGATGGGCCGAGAGCTGACTTGACGACTTCCTCGCGCTTCTTCATCCTTCGCTAACCGTGCGTCGATCCCCTTCCCCGATATCAACTGTACTGGTTTCGTCTCCAACACTTGATTCAAAGAGTATGGCGGAACCTTTTTTCTCCTGCGAGGCGATTCGCGCGTCGCTTTTCCTCAGGAGTCCCGGCAAGCTGCAACACTCTGACGAAGGACGATGGAAGATTCCGTGCCGAAGTTTGCTCGACTCCGGAGTCTCTCGAAGGATTTCGGATTCTTTCTGTAAATTTGATAGTCTCGTTCTCACCTAATCGGCAAAACTGGAATAACAGCGATTCCCCCGCGGTGTGGGAAGCGGATATTACGAGGGAACTCTATGCAGCTGGAGGAATCATCTATTCATCGACTCGTCATGTTCTCTCGGTCCTCGCCGGTCACTCGAAGTCGGGTATTTTGCGAGGAAACTCTTCACGCTCAATGGTATTTTCCGTATTCCCATGCCGAAATCGGCATGTGGACTTGGCTCAAAGACTGTTTAGAAAGTTGTTGTCCCCCCCGCTTTTTGAAGACAGCCAGGGATGCGAAAGTATTCTCGGAACGCTCGTTCTCATCAAGACATCGGGCTCGAGCATCCACCGGAGCAGATCCTTTGCTTCCGGGCTCACTACGGGTGTTTTGGGGTAAGCAATCTGTCGCAAGAAACCATCAAAAATCAGGTCGATGCCCGGATCAGGATGGGGTTAGGTGATCAAGCATGTCGCTTCTTATTTCGAACTCAGCTGATTTCGAGATACTCACATTTCTACACAATTGCTGTTTCACTTGAAGTTTCGGATCTGTGTCGTCGAAGGGCATGACTCCACAAAGCATGATGAACAGAATGCAGCCGAGAGACCACACGTCATACAATTTGGGATTGTACGCTTTACCTGAAAATATTGTTCGGGAACTTCAAAACACTCCGAGCTCGTCGCTCCGCACGCGGGGCGGGCCTCTCTCTAAATTATGCTTCGGATACATGAGACCCGGTCGCGCGGTTCCGCTGCGCTCAGGTAGAAGCTCAAAAAAAATCGAGTAGCTTGACTCGGCTCTCCCAAACTCATAGCGAAGATGCGCTGCGCGAATCCAAAACTTTTATGGTTTGTCACAGGTGTGAGCTCACCTTGGAGAACTTCTGGTGACGCATAGAATGTGCTCCCGCAAAAAGTTCTACTCAGAACCCTGCGACCGTCTTTGGAGCAAGGCCGACTGAAGCCGAAATCCGCTAGTTTGACGTGTCTTGAAGACTTCATCAGAATGTTCTCACATTTTAAATCCCTGCAGGGGTGACGATATGAGATTCGGGCACATACCCCGTATCAGCGCGGGAGATTCTCGCAAAAGCTCCTACTCTGGGGAGCCACAGAGTTCGGAAGAGCTCTTTCTCAGAAGTTTCATATGTACCAGCAATAATAGAAAGTACAATGATGACGACAATAAGTACCAGTCCCACGATCAGGAGCGATTCCTCCGAGGCAAGTGTCGCAACCAAACGCTTCAACCCGATTTCTGTTATTTACCTGTGGGCCACATCTAGACCGTGGAGGTAGTTCAAAGCGTCGATTATCTGAAGGAAATAGATCCGAGATCTTGAGTCCGACAGGAACTTCTTCTTCTTGATGTAACACAACAAGTCCCCATCCTCCGCCAAATCCATCACAATGAACACTTTCTCCGAGGCCTGAAAAGACCGAAGATTCCGGGCTCAGACTGGGTACTTTCACGGAGAAAAACTGCTATAGCTGGAGAGCTCTAAGAATGGCGTAATTCCTCCCTATTGCCGGAGATTTCTCCGTGACGGCCATACCTTGAATATTCTCAACACATTGACGATGTGCCTGTGGTCGATCCGTGAGAGTATTTCGAGTTCGCGAGGCAGGAAGCGGCCTTTGAAATCATCCGATACCCTCGTGGTGTCGATCACTTTGACTGCGAACCTACAACGATAACCGTGTCTCGTCAGCCCACAATATGTGCGGTCAACACTTATCGGTCATTAGGAAATTCCCCGTGGATGCCGGACAATTATCAGACCTATGCTGCCCTTGGGAAACTTCCTTCACTTGTGAGTAAGAACCGCCACCGATTTTCCTCAAGACTTGGTATCCTGCCTTGACGAGGAAGTCATTCGTTTTCGGGACGTGACTTTCGGCGGTAATGGCCATCTTACCAGCATCGAGTTGAATTTCGATATTGTCACTAAAATCGTTGTCTCTCGATCACAAGTTACAAGAGGCACTCGCGATTATCGAGCGAGCGATCGAGCGAGCGATTCGTGATCGAGTGAACCATCAGCCGGCGTGGGTAGGTACATTCGATGAAATTCGCGGAATCGGACGCCGAACGGAAGATATGATGGGAATGCCTGGATGAAAACCCAAAGTTTTCACTGAGCTCTACGCGGAGCTAGGACACTCGTTGCGGTAGAATATTCATTGGAGCACACGCTACTACGACTCCGTCGGTTTGTTATTGGTTAAGAACGTGTGACGCACCATCATCCGGACCCGAGTGCGGGCCCAGACCGAGCCACACGGATCAGCGAGTCCCCGGTGAATTTTCCACACCATTTGATCTGCCCTTGATTAGCATACTCGAACCTGTTGTTGTCCACTCTCGAGGAATGCGTCCGATGAGCACCGTGTACCCGAGCGGCATGGTCGGTTCTGATCCGTAAAGTGGGTTCTCGAAAAGGGGGGCCGCAGCGAATGAATTGCTAATGCTTGGGGATCGAGGAAGGAGTACGCCGGAAGGAGATCAACCGGAGTTCAGATAGCATTTGGAAATGGAGGAAACTGTGCGGGCTGGAACCCGAGCCAAAATACCGGTGAGCTAAGACTCAGAGCCGCTTCCCGGAGCCATCGGCCTGTGCAGCAGCAGCGGGAAGGTTCTGGAACGATGAAAAACGCGTGTTGTGATAGCCAAGTGTCAGGTCGGAGGAGCCTTGCGAAATTTGAGGCTTCCGCGAGGACAGGAAAGTGTCGACACGGAGACAAACGAGCTCTTGTTCCCGTGCGGCGCAGCCCGGTGATCGCGAGGAACAGCCATGCATCAGACTCGGAATCGCTGGGGTAAAATGTTGTCCCTTAGCAGACATCGATGTCGGATCCCCAGACGACCAGACTCCGGAAGGGAATCGGAGCCGTCCGTCTCAAGGCCGCGGGTGATCCGGGCGAACATGAAATATGGCTCGAGATTTTAATATGTCATCGTATGGACAGACAGATGCTGTGGAGCACATTATCTCATGGGAGCGAGGGAGCGTCGCTTGTCATCGATCCGACAGGAATGTGATTCGAATCTCAATGGGCCCTTCAATTCCAGGACAATCGCGAGTAGAAAACGTGAAAGAAAGTCCGATTGAGTCCGGACAGAATTTTGTAAAATAAAGAGAATTGTGCAATAATTTTCAGACAATCAGTCTCGCAGAGACCCATCCCGAGATGTCCCATCGATTGGGATTCTGGAGGAATCGTTCGAGTCTAGAACTCAACTTTCTGCGCATTATTCGCAAGGAGTTGCTCGTTCTTTATCTCTGGGAGCATATGCTTTCCGGGAAGGGCTCGTGGGAAGCTTTTCAGAATTGTCGTTCCAGTGGAGGAAAGTTTGTCAGATGAAACGAGCGCTCGCAGTGGAGCCGAGGGGCAACGAGCTCGGCTCAGACTGAGGAGCAACATGTGGCTCGTCTGAAGGGAAAAGTTGGCCAACGGGTTCGACTGTATGTACATCGGCGTCATTTTTCATCTGAGCGTGGTCGATGGGATCCTGTTGGAGCCGGGAGCTTCGTCGCGCTCTTTTTGCGGAGCTCTTCCCGGAGAATCCTCTCGGAGTTCCGTCGAAACTCCCAGCGGAAACTCTTTACGGAAAACCGTAGGAACGACCTTTAACACCGCTCCCGGATTTTCTAGGAGGTCTCGATTCTGTCGCCATTTTCCCTCCGCTAAAATTTCCCAGCTCTCGCGTCACTGTGACGGCATTCGGTCTGAATTCCCGATTCAGAAGCATTGGAGACGCTAGCCGTCTTCAACCAGAAGCTGTGAAATCTTTCGGGAGGAATTTCTTCCTTTGTCGGCTCGTCTCGACGATCTTCTATCCGATTGATGACAGCCTATCGCTGTCGCGATGGAATTTTCCGGCGGAGCACGCTTCGCAACCCGGACCTCGGATGGAGACAGATCAGACGAGAGCTTAGCCCCATGGAGCATAGAGGAATCGCGAGGCATCCCGGAATCTTTTGAGCAGCCCAAGCCTCGAGGGGGTATCCCCGGAGAGAGTGATACAGTTCGACCTCGATCATATGATCAGTTCGTGGTAGTCATTGGTCGAGGCTCAATCGGGTCACATCGATATCTCGGTTTAATTATCAACCATTTTCAACTTGGATCAGTTATCCGACCGAGGTAAATCTCCGGAGAGTCGATATGATCGACTCAGTTTCGAGTCGTCCTATTCCATTTTCGTTCCTCCGTTCTCCGTGTTGCTAACGGAAAGCGTTAACGCATGGCGCTCGTGGAACCGTGCATACCTCGGGAGTCGTCGATCTTGTTCCTGCGCGGTACGAGCCAATTCAACAGCGAGATGCGATAATCTTGGTCAATTAGTTGATGGCCCGATCCTCCCTGACCCCGAGGGAATTGATTGTAAGAGGGTCACCCGCAGGAACCTTGTAATCAGGTAAACATGATCAAACTGAACATCGATGACGAACCACGGGCGTTGGAACGAGTTCTTCAAGAATTGTACGATTTTGCTTTTCAGAGCCGGAGCTGTTCCGCCTTGTTCCCCGGGTCTTGCGCTCCGTGCAGAAGGGGTAGACCCCTTGTTCCACTGCGATACTTCCTCACGCCAACTGCGGATCCCGTCTCTGTGCGCGTGCGCGCATTCAAGTCAAATACTCCTCTAGCTCTGCAAACGCTCACGGGACAAGGGACAATATTGATTTAAGAGAATCCAATTATTACAATGTCGTATATTGTGCCGAGCAAGCACGGCTTCAAGGACGCTATCTGCAGCTGCAACGACGGCTTCTGCGAGTGCGGTCGGCTTTCGTCGAGTCAAGCGGAGTCGGTTCGGGCACAGCCGCACGCCGCCGCATACTTGCACTCGTTCCGTCCGGATATGACGAACGGCCACGGATTGCCGGTCAGACTGAACGACCGACCGACCGACCGACCGATGGAATGACGGGCGAATGGACAGGCCGACGGTTGAATGGTCGTCCGCCGGTCGGACTCTTAGTCAGTCAGTCACTTTGCGGTGGTTGACTCGTTGGTGGCTCCCGATATTTCATTAAGATGAAAAATGGCGCGAGCTGTAATCGGTTTCAACTTTTATTCCAAATGCCAGCGTTCGGTGGATCGAGGAAGAGTATCACCGACGCTAAGCGAATACTGCCGCACTGAGACAAGAACGGCGAGCGCAGAAGGATCAACTGCGAGCCCCGCACAGCTTGCCCCAGCCCTTCTAGGTCCAAATGAAACCTCGCTAAGTCCTCCTCCTCGCTCGGTTCCTCCAGCATCTGGATGATTGAATGTGGGAGCGAAAAAATTATCGGAACGGTGGACGTTTCGAGCCCCAGTGATTTTTGATGGTTTTGGGCAGCGCAGTCCGCAGTTGGGCCGAAGTGACTTCCTCTCGAATGCACCGACGATTCAGTGTCGTAACTCTTATCTTCATTCTCTAAATTCTTCGTTCCCGCCTGCCGCAGATCTCAGAAAGGTTCATCCGTCACAATTCCAACTTAGTTAGATAGTAGTACGATTCCTAGCTACATCCATATTCTGAGGGCACGGGCTCACGAGACACAATCATCATACCAAACATGTATCCGAATCGAAACTCTTCTCAGGGTTAGTTGCGTCGTATCCCCTAGCCATCCTGGCCCCGGTCACGATCATCGTGAGTATCGTGCCACTGTGAGGGAGAATCTCGGTCTGCCGGTTCAGTTGTTGGTCACGGAAACAAGACCATATTGCGGCAGAGAAGCAGAATGATAGAGATGCTGTGATTAGCCCCCAGGGATATCATTGTCACTCTACCGATAGGGGGAGTCTATAGCTCCGGAACTTAACAATTCCTCAGAGGAGCACACTCGCTGCTATCAAAAAATCTTCTGGATTGCCAGGAAAGTCCAAACCGCTCTGGGTGTCTGTTCATTCGCCGTCTCGAGAGAGGAAAATCACGACCAGAAGTTTCCCGTTTCCACTAATTCAATTAAAATAGTTCGTACTCTCGCCGACGCTGTTGGAGCGCTTTTGATTCTCTGAATACTCGGTCCGTCAGGCCTTATCGAACACTGTGAGCGTGTCGGTCAGGCTCTCCCTCAGCTTCCGATCCGCGTCGAACTCATCGGGAACTGCGAGTCGTGACCAGGAGCTTAGCTCAGCGTTCTCGTTGGTCTGCCTCCGCGATGAAAATTCAACTCCTTTCCTGAGCTTCATAAAACTTTTCGCTCGAGGTGACGCGCTAGTATTCGGACCGGAGTCCCTCGCGAACGTCATCAAAGATGCCTGGGAACACTTTTTTCGATGATTGTAACTGATCCTTCAATTATTGGTTGGACAAGGTTCTGGTTTGGGACTCATGCATTAGCATTTCCGTGTTCGTTCCTCTTGAGCTCGTCAACGAACAGAAAGATCGGAAGTTACCTTTGCCGTAGAAGCCGCTGCACTCGCGGAGACGGCGGAAACTCCTTCTGATTGACATTGGCGAGCGATCTCGACCGAGCTCTGCATTTTGAAATGCTCCAGAGGGACGCATCGAAAGTGCATAAGAAGCATTCAAGTCAGCTCCGAGATGAATTATTTTTCTCAGGGCATTCCTCGGTGCCTTCCCAGTCCTGCACGGCATGGCGAGCGTGTCGATCTTCTCAGCGATGCACCGTGAACGCAGTCACGTCGTCCTAGGGAGCAATCCATCGCAGTTTCGTGCCGTCGTGAGTCGAAACGACCTTCTGGCTTCGATCACTACGCATGTTTTGTAGCGAAAAATCTGGAAATATTCGTTTTTTCTCAGTCCTCCCACGATAGATCCGTCTTATTGACTCATATCTCGGCTTGTGGCCGGAGTGCTGCTTCTCTTCCAACGGCATATCATGTCGGCTTCTCTGTTTGTTTTTTGGCTGATCTACTCGGCTGCCTGAGGTCTCAGATTCCGGCCGGCTTCTCACGAAGAGCTCGATCCGAATCATTCAGAACGTATCTTGGCAGGGAGAGCAGGGAAAAAATAACTTCATAAGTCCCGCTGAGGTGACGGCAATCATTTGAAACCTACGTTTGAGTCTTCCCGGAAGCTATCGTCGTCGGAATTCGCGCCCGAGCAACCGTCTCCCCGTGCGCGTCGCACGACTCGTCTTGAGCTGCTTCGCGGACAGAAATGCATTTCCCCTAGGGCCGGCTGGAGAAGAATCGAGGGGAGTCCTTTGAAAGAGGCTTCCATTTTATCCGTAATATGTATCATAGCGGTACACTAGCGGTGGATCTGTCTTCTTCGTCTCTAGAGCTCGAGCCCTCGCCCTAGGCTAATATCCTAATGGAAATTCCAATATTTGAGTTTTCCTCGCAACGTTGTCTATCCTTAGCGAAAACTTAATTTTTGGTCAAGCATGATACGGTCGGGCCCCGAGCGGGCTCTCTGTCTGGGAGACCTGTGGCCTTTACACGAGAGAAATTCCACCGACGGTGTTATTCGCTTCTTCCAACCGGATTTCATGTCTGAGGAACGGAGAGCCACCGAGGACGGCCGGCGGAGCTCATTCAAAATCCTCTATCCCTCTCCGAAAATTCTCTATCCCATCCTGGATATTCTCCATAAATTCTTCACATTCATTGAATCCGATGGTGGGAATTCCGGGATCCGTGCCCTCCGAGAATCCGGCTGTCTCGTTCCGACCGGAACACAGGCTGAATCTATCGGTATCCATCCGCGCGGCTCGATGAACCTTGACCGACGCCGACGATCTCCATTCTGAAGATCCTATGTGGAAAGGTCCGATACTCGTGACCGTGGGACGGCCTTCGTCCGCCGTTGATTGGTAGCGTATTTGCTGGTCAAGCACTAATGTCTAGTGCAGGGGTGTCAGACTTAAATTTTTGGCGGGCCACGTTCGAGCGCTGCAGGTGCCCGCGGGCCACATTAAGAATTTACTTTCGTTTAAAATGAGAATATATGCCTATCGTCCATGAAAGAATGCTTTCCCAGCCTCCGGAAATAGAGGGAAAACTCGTTTGTTCGGTTGTACGGAGGTATTCATTCCACCGATCTCATTCAATTTCCAAGCACTCATCCGAAACAGTCGGCTTCGAGTATGAGGGGCAAGAGTGGCGGGCCACAAAAAAGACCTCGCGGGCCACACGTGGCCCGAGGGTCACGGATTTGACTCCCCTGGTCTAGTGAATGTGGACGCAATGTGTTGCAAAGCGCCCCATCTCAGTGGCCGGAAACGTTATATAAGCCGACGCTTCGCGAGCAGCGCAAGGAGCTCGTCGACTACACAGCTCGACAAAAAAAACTTTTTTCGCGTTACAAAGAAAGTGAAAGCTATTTCGGGTTAAACCGGGGGCGCTGAATCCGAATTTCTTAACAGATTTTCTCCATCAGGTCCAGCTTTTCCGAAATTTCACTTTTTCGATTTTTTGCCATTTTTCGTCTTTAAAAAATTCTAGCTCCGCCCCTGAGTGGACTAGATCGATGAAAGTTTGGTGGCGGATAGAGCTCGGTTGGGGCTATACCTGGCCGAGTTTTGGTGCGATTCGTAGCAGTGGTCTCTGAGCTAGAGCCATCGGAAACTAAAAAAAAGAAGAAAAAAGTGGGAGAGGGACCTCTTAGAAAGCACTCGACGGAAAAACTAGGACCTTTGAAGCGGTCTGACCTAGACAATTCGATAGAGGAGGCTTTTACGAGCATTTTGAGACCAAGCAGAGCGAAATCGGTCGATCCATTCAGTCTTTATTCGCAAAAAACATTGAAAATTTGAAAACGCCTAAAAGTCGGAATTCGTCTGTTCCGGCTTTTAAGCAGAAGCTTCGACCGTTGGGCCGTTGGAATCTTCCGTAAAATCAGCGAGGTCGATCAATCCGCATCAAATCGAGCCGTCAGCGATTGTCTGGAATGTGGTCGATCAGGGGCTTCCCTCATGAGGTTCCAGCAATAGTCTGCCATCATAGACTCATCCCACCTCCCTTGGTATCGCTCCTCCATGGTGCTGATGTCTTGATGGAACCTTTCGCCTTGCTCGTCGCTCATTGACCCTAAATTCTCAGGGAATAGATCAAGGTGGGCGTGGAGATAATGAACCTTGATACTCATTCTACATCCGAGAATGCGGAAGCTTTCTACAAGTCTCTGCACCAACTCCACGTAGTTGGAAGCTCTCGTGTTCCCCAAGAAGTTCGTGGCGACTGAGACGAAGGATTCCCAGGCGGCGGCTTCCTCCGGGTTGATCGATTCGATGAAGTTTGGGTCCTTCATGAGTCGCCGGATCTGCGGCCCGTTGAGCACTCCCGCTAGCAGTTTCTGTCTGCTCACGGGACGGAGCTTCTGGGCTATGTATTCGAAGCTTAAAAGTCGGCATAGACGAATTCCGACTTTTAAGGCGTTTTGAAATTTTCAATGTTTTTGCGAATAAAAACTGAACGGATCGACCGATTTTGCTCTGCTTGGTCTCAAAATGCTCGTAAAAGCCTCCTCTATCGAATTGTCGAGGTCAGACCGCTTCAAAGGTCCTAGTTTTTCCGTCAAGTGCGTTTTAAGAGGTCCCTCTCCCACTTTTTTCTTCTTTCTTTTAGTTTCCGATGGCTCTAGCTCAGAGACCACTGCGACGAATTGCACCAAAACTCGGCCAGGTGTAGCCCCAACCGAGGTCTATCCGCCACCAAAGTTTCATCGATCTAGTCCACTCAGGGGCGGAGCTAGAATTTTTTGAAGACGAAAAATGGCAAAAAATCGAAAAATCGAAATTTCGGAAAAACTAGACCTGATGGAGAAAAACTGTTATGAAATTCGGATTCAGCGCCCCCGGTTTACCCCGAAATAGCTATCACTTTCTTTGTAACGATTTGGCTGTCGAGCTGTGCTATTCGCCGATCGGCATCGATGTAGTTCCCCACGATAATTCATTTCAAATGCGGGACCGTACACCATATCTACATACTGAATCATTGTACAGCGTATCTACATAGTTTTGAACAATTCAATGATAACTCAGTACTGAGTTCACTGATTCGCGGTTTCGCTGGTCTGTTGATTTCCGTGACTCAATTTCGGGCGCTACCAGCGCAAGGAGCGATTCGCGATTTTTTGTTGAGGCAGCAGCCCGGAATCGCAATCCTGGCCGCTTCGGCAGTCCTTTTCCTCCCGAGACCTGCGAGCACAATTTTGCCCGGCAAGCGGCGCAAGTCGCAGATGAGAGAACTATAAACCATGAAGGTAATCGAGCTCCTAACTACGTAGCGGGCATAATTATTATCCTAACTTCGGTCGGCTTCATATTGTGACCAGACCCTCCCTGTGTGCTTTATCGAGTTGTCGCTCTCGCTCAGTCAGAGGAGGATTCGACGCCATCGCCGAGCCGTAGGGTCAGTCTCGACGTTCCCTGACGAGGGTCGGATCCCCCAGAAGAGAGCTCATGATTCAGCCGGAGCAGAACTCCGATTTATTATTTCACCCGCTGAAACCATTTCTCATATCGGCTATCGGACATACCGTGATCGCGTCTGGTTGTCTCCCCCGCAAATTGAACGAAGTTCCTCCCCGTACACCGGCGCCACATACCTGTCGCGTCTCCGCAGGAGCGACATGTATTCCAGTCGACGCGCCAGCGAGAGAAAAATCGAGGAGTGATTAATCCGTTCTCTTTCCAAAGACACGTTTGATGAAA